TAAAAGAAAAAATAGCTAAGTCAGGAAATTCTATTCTCCTTTGTTTCTCTGCTAGGAGTTATTTTTATCTGCAATCAATCCTTCAGAAAAATCTTTCACTTCTTCACTTTTGTGCAGTATGTTAACTAGGAATAAAATGATAGTGTATGTCAGTCAAATGTAATACTTATATTAAAACCTGATTATTAATTCAGAAGCTCATGGAAAGCCAGGTTAATCTGAATAATATATTATTTTTCTTAGTCCACAATCTATCATTTCACAAACCATGGCTAATAGAATGACAAAAATAAAAAGCTCTGTTTAAATGAAAATGCCTAATATATTCTGCATCTCATTTGTATCTTATTGCGTTAGGCAGGCTAATATGGCTAGTCTGTGAATGTGATACAAAGAAGATGATTCATTTCTCTGTTTTAAAAACCTTAAGTATTCCTGCTAAACAGTGAATTTCTGAAGGCTTGCTATTATTTAAAATATTGCTTACTAGTCCATTGACTTATTAAACAAATAATTTTAAGTTTAAAGGATTCAAAAAGAACATTAAAAGAAGAGATCTATGCATTAAAAAAAAATCCCAATTTCTATTTTTTTAATATTAAAAACATTCCTTTTAAATATATTTTTCCCAACTTTTATTTTGAGTTCAGGGGTATATGTGCAGGTTTGTTATACTGGTAAATGTGTGTCGTGGTGGTTTGCTGCACAGATAGTCCCAACACCTAGGTATTAAGCCCAGCATCTATTCTTCCTGATGTGCTCCGTCCTCCCATCTCCCACACTCCAACAGGCTCCAGAGGGTTTTGTTTCTCACTATGTGTCCATGTGTTCTCATCATTCAGCTCCCACTTGTAAGTGAGAACATGTAGTATTTGGTTTTCTTTTCCTGCATTAGTTTGCTCAGGATAATGGCTTCCAGCTCCATCCAAGTCCCTGAAAAGATCATGATCTTATTCCTTCTTATGGTTGCACAGTATTCCATGGTATATATGTACCACATTTTCTTTATCCAGTCTATCATTGATGGGCATTTAGGTTGATTACATGTCATTGCTATTATGAATAAAGCTGCAATGAACATATACACACATGTATCTTTATAACAATGATTTATATTCCTTTGAGATATACATCATTCTGTTATAGTGGATATACTGCCTATACTATAGGCAGTAATGAGATTGCTGGGTGAAGTGATATTTTTGCCTCTAGATCTTTGAGGAATCACTGCACTGTCTCCCACAATAGTGGAACTAATTTACACTCCCACCAACAGTGTAATAGTGATTTTTCTCCACAATCTCACCAGCATCTGTTGTTTCTTGACTTCTTAATGATAATCATTCTGGCGGGCATAAGATGGGATCTCATTATGGTTTTGATTTGCATTTCTCTAATGATCAGTGATGTTGAGCTTTTTTACATATGTTTGTTGGGCACATGCCTGTCTTTTGAGAAGGTCTGTTCATGTCCTTTGCCCACATTTTAATGAGCCTGTTTTTTTCTTGTAAATTTATTTAAGTACCTTGTCAATGCTGGATGTTAGACCTTTGTCAGATGGGTAGTCTGCAAAAATTTTCTCCCATTCTGTGGGTTGTCTGTTCACATTGATGATAGTTTCTTTTGCTGTGCAGAAGCTCTTTAGTTTAATTAGATCCCATTTGTCAATCTTTGCTTTTGTTGCAATTGCTTTTGGTGTTTTCTTTATTAAATCTTTGCCCATGCCTATGTCCTAAATGGTATTGCCTAAATTTTCTTCTAGGATTTTTATAATTTTGGGTTTTACAGTTACATCTTTAATCCATCTTGAGTTGATTTTCGTATATGGTGTAAGAAAGGGGTCCAGTTTCAATTATCTCGATGTGGTTATTCAGTTAATTCTTTTAGCTCCATTTGTTAAATAGGAAATCCTTTCCCTATTGCTTGTTTTTGTCAAGTTTATTAAAGATCAGCTGGTCGTAGGTGTGCAGTCATATTTCTGGGTTCTCTATTCTGTTCCATTGGTCTATGTGTCTGTTCTTGTACCAGTACCATGCTATTTTGTTACGGTAGTCTTATAGTTTTGCCAGGTAGCATGATGCCTCCAGCTTTGTTCTTTTGGTTTAGGATTGGCTTGGCTATTTGGTCTCTTTTTGGGTTCCATATGAACTTTAAAATAGTTTTTTTCTAATTCTGTGAAGAATCTCAATGATAGTTTAATGGGAATAGCATTGAATCTATAAATTGCTTTTGACAGTGTGGCCGTTTTCATATTGATTCTTCCTATCCATAAGCATGGAATGTTTTTCCATTTGTTTGTGTCATTTCTGATTTCTTTGAGCAGTGGTTTGTAATTCTCCTTGAAGAGGTCCTTCACATCCATTGTTAGCTGTATTCCTAAGTATTTTATTCTTTTTGTGGCAATTGTGAATGGAAGTTCATTCATGATTTGGCTCTTTGTTTGCGTGCTCGTGCATAAGAATGCTTGTGATTTTTGCACACTGATTTTGTATCCTGAGACTTTGCTGAAGTTGCTTATCAGCTTAAGAAGCTTGGCCTGGCGCAGTGGCTCACGCCTGTAATCCCAGCACGTTGGGAGGCCAAGGCGGGTGGATCACGAGGTCAAGAGATCGAGACCATCCTGGTCAACATGGTGAAACCCCGTCTCTACTAAAAATACAAAAAATCAGCTGGGCATGGTGGCGCATGCCTGTAGTCCCAGCTACTCGGGAGGCTGAGGCAGGAGAATTGCCTGAACCCAGGAGGCGGAGGTTGCGGTGAGCCGAGATCGCGCCATTGCACTCCAGCCTGGGTAACAAGAGCGAAACTCCGTCTCAAAAAAAAAAAAAAAAAAAAAAGAAGAAGAAGCTTTTGGGCTGAGACAATGGTGTTTTCTAGATATGGGATCATGTCACCTACAAACAGAGATAGTGTGACCTCCTCTCTTTCAAGTGAATACTCTTTATTTCTTTCTCTTGCCTGATTGCCCTGGCCAGAACTTCCAACACTATGTTAAACAGATGTGGTAAAAGAGGGCATCCTTGTTTTGCACCGGTTTTCAAGGGGAATGCTTCTAACTTTTGCCTATTCAGTAAGATATTGGCTGTGGGTTTGTCAATCATGGCTCTTATTATTTTGAGATATGCTCCTTCAATACCTAATTTATTGAGATTTTTTTTTTCAACATGAAGGGATGTTGAATTTTATTGAATCTATTTAATGCATCTCTTGAGATGATCATGTAGTTTTTGTCTTTAGTTCTGTTCGTGTGATAAATCGCATTTACTGATTTGTGTATGTTGAACCAACCTTGAATCCCTAGGATGGATGAAGCTGATTTGATCATGATGGATAAGCTTCTTGATGTGCTGCTGGATTCAGTTTGCCAGTATTTTATTGAGGCTTTTTGCACTGATGTTTATCAAGAACATTGGCCTGAAGATTTCTTTTTTGTTGTATCTCTGCCAGGTTTTGGTATCAGAATGCTGCTGGTGTCATAGAATGAGTTAGAAAGGAGTCCCTTCTTGTCAATTCTTTGAACTAGTTTCACTACAAATGGTACCAGTTCTTCTTTGTACCTCTCGGAGAATTTGGCTGTGAATCCATCTGTTCTTGGACTTTTTTTGGTTAGTAGGCTATTTATTACTGCCTCAAATTCAGGACTCATTATTGGTCTATCCAGAGGTTCAGTTTCTTCCTGGTTCAGTTATGGGGGTTGGGTATGTGTTCAGAAGTTCATCAGTTTCTTCCAGATTTTCTAGTTTACGTGCACAAAGGTGATAATATTATCTGATAGTTGTATTTCTGTGGGGCCATTGGTGATAGCCCCTTATCACTTCTGATAATGTTTATTTGAATCTTCTCTCTTTTTCTTATTAGTCTTGCTAGCGGTCTATCTATTTTATTAATTTTTTCAGAAAATCAGCTCTTGGATTTGCTGATTTCTTTGATGTGTTTTTTTGTCTCTACCTCCTTTGGTTCAGTTCTGATCTTGGTTATTTCTTGCCTTCTGCTAGCTTTGGGGTTTGTTTGCTCTTGGTTCTCTAGTTCCTTTAGTTGTAATGTTAGGTTGTTAACTTGACATCTTTCTAGCTTTTTGATGTGGGCAGTTAGTGCTATAAATTTTCCTTTTAACACTGCTTTCACTGTATCCCAGAGATTCTGATTCATTGTCTCTTTGTTCTCATTAGTTTCAAAGAACTTCTTGTTTTCTGCCTTAATTTCATTATTTACCCAAGAATCATTCAGGAGCAGGTTGTTCAATTTCCATGTAGTTGTGTGGTTTTGAGTGAATTTCTTTATCTTCAGTTCCAATTTGATTGCATGGTGGTCTGAGAGACTGTTATGATTTCAGGGTTTTTCATTTGCTGAGGGGTGTTTTACTTCTGATTATGTCGTCAACTTTAGAGTAAGTGCCATGTGGCAATGAGAAGAATACATATTCTGTTGGTTTTAGGTGGAGAGTTCTGTAGATATCAGGTCCACTTGACCCAGAACTGAGTTCAGGTCCTGAATATCTTTGCTAATTTTCTGTCTGGATGATCTGTCTAATATCGACAGTGGGGTGTTAAAGTCTTCCACTATTATTGTGTGGGAGTCTAAGTCTCTTTGAAGATCTCTAAGAACTTGCTTTATGAATTAGGGTGCTCCTGTATTGGGTGCATATATACTCAGGATAGTTAGCTCTTCTTGTTGAACACCTCACCTTCTTTGACTTTTTAAAAATCTTTGTTGGTTTAAAGTCTATTTTGTCAGAAACTGGGATTGCAACTAGTGCTTTTTTTCTGTTTTCCATTTGCTTGGTAAATTTTCCTCCATCCTTCATTTTGAGCCTATGTGTGTCTTTGCATGTGAGATAGATCTCTAAAAAACAACATACTGATGGGTCCTGGCTCTTTATGCAGCTTGCCATTCTGTATCTTTTCATCAGGGCATTTAGCCCATTTACATTTATGGTCAGTATTTTTATGTGTGGATTTGATATTGTCATGATGATGCTAGCTGGTTATTTTGCAGACTTGAAAAATATGAAAAGCTTCACAAATTTGTGTGTCATCCTTGTGCAGGGGCCATGCTAATCATCTCCACATTGTTCCAATCTTAGTATCTGTGCCAGCGAAGTGAGGACTCAATTTCAATTCTATTCTTTTTGTTCTTAGAAAATAAAAATTTTAATTATTATATTATTATTTGCTTATCCTAGTGTGAAAGATATCACTTGCCTGGATGATTCCAAATCCTCTAGCTTGCTATGGGCATCTGTTCAGACATCCTGACTTACATAGGGATAGAAACCTAGTTTTTTGTCAAGAGAGTGGGGAATGGTGTGGAGATTTAAGTTTCTCAAAACCTGTAGTTCTAGTACTCTTCTGCTTCCTCTGAATCCTTGATCCATGCTTTAATTTCACCACCTGCTGATGCTGCTCTTGTTTATGTGGAAATAGGCATGTCCCCCACTCACAGTGCCCAAGGTTTCCCCCAATCAAGGCTGTGATTGTAGTAAACTTAACAGAGAGTTTGGGAGGAAGGCAAGGGGAAAATTACAGTATAGCATAGACAGCAAACAGCTCGAAATTATTTATCAGATGTCCCTACTTTTCAAAGCATTTTTGCATTCAAATGACTGGGAAATTCTATTTCGTACTTCTCTGAAGCCCCCGCTTCCTCCCAAGTTGCCAACTAGCTTTATTTCCTCTGACCTTGCCCCACGTCCTCTCTGATAAGGTTATCCTGCCTGTTCCAAGGTTCTGCTCACTTCTTTACAGAATAAAACTGTAGCTATTCACCATTCATAAAGCCATTGCTGGGATGCAGCTGCGGGACCTGGGGGTTACTTTCTAAATCAAACACACCCTTTAAGGTGCATTGGTGTTCAGCAAAGACAATTATTTCCCAGAGACCAACTCTGTAGTTATCAGCTTTTGGTTCTCCCTCTTCGTTAGGTAGAAGCCTGGGAACTAAAGACTTAGAATTTGGCATGAGATGAAAGGGAGATGTGAATAATAAAAATTTGGAAGTATTATCGAACTTCAGATTTAGAATAGGATCCAACCATTTTCTGTTTTAGACAAGGAAACTGAGGCCTAGAGAGATTAGGAGCCTTGCTGGAGGTTATACAGCACTTTCAAGCAGAAACTGTATACAGGAGCCTGATCTATGTTTGTTTCCATGATCTCACAAAACTCACTTTCTCAGAAACCAAAGAGCATTTCAGCTCTGTACATTTAATTCTCAACTATGTTGCCAGCAAAAGTCCTACAGGAAAGGAAACAAGCATATAGCAGGGGAGGTCTGCAGGATACCTAAATCATATTATCTCAGGCATGCTAGCATGGTCACTATTCACATTTTAGTGCTATGTTAACCATTCATGTAGAATTAATTTCCTAATTTCCAGGCACAATAATAATGTTATGGAAGGCAGTTTTCACATGCTTTTACTAAAGTCCTTTGAAATCTCCATCAGAGATAAAATACTAGGCTCAAGCTTTCTTGTCATGAGCCATACAAAAATGAATTGGTTAATTTCCTAATGTTCCTAGAAAAAAAAAAAAGTGGGAGAGAGACTGGGGCAGGAGATGGAGAGAAAGAGAGCAAGATGGTTGCAGTAGATGACGATGCAAATGGAAACTGATAAAAGTTAGTTATATTACTTACATGTACAAACATGAATCTTATAAGTATTTAACATTATTGTCCATTGGCAGAAATTAAATACCTTCTATAATAATAAATTAGATTTCTGGCACTTTTGCCTTAAATTTGCTATAACAGATATCTTTTTAAAAGTTTATAAATGTTAAGAAAACATGAGTAGTAAACCTAAGAGAGTTGACTGAAATAAGTACCTGAAAAAAGCATACAAGATAGAGAAAAATGTATCCAAAACACTTCTGTTCCCAGAAAGGAAGAAAGAATCTTCAGTAGAATTCAGACATTTAGCAACAAAGTTGGCTGTAAACATTTTCCCAGTCAACAGGACAAAGAAAATGTTCCTGTGAGAACAGTAACCAGATCTTAGGGCTCTGGTCTTTGAAGTTTGAAGTATTTCCCCAGAAGTGCCACAATCTTCTTTCTCTCCTACCCCATTGGAAGATCACAAAAGTACATTCTTGTTCATTCCCTATTTTTGTTATCCTGCCAAAAATACACACTCACTGATAAAGCTCACCAGTGATTCATTACATACCATCATCCTTAGGTTTCCAGTATAAATGCCATTTTAAATGAGCCTCTTTTGTTTCATTCATGCTAACAGACATTTAATAGCCATGATGATACCAAATGATTCTCACCATATCATTCTACTAAAACCCAGATGTCTCTGTACAGACAGAAACAAAGGCACCAGCCCCCAGGTTCTTTTCTTCCATTTTTGTTTCCTTAGCAGTTGGCTGCGCTGGGATTCATTTGAACGTAGGAATAGTAGAGTGTAACTATTCTTTTTATATTTCCCCTTTTCTCTATAGATTAATTAAATTTTCTTTATTCTTCCACTCTTTAATGATTAAGAAACACAAAATAAAGAAATAAGAAAAGAAAAGAGAGAAAAAATAAAAAGAGAAGAAAGGTCTGGTGAATTAAAATTGAGCTTGAGGATCTATTTTTTACTTTTTATTTTTTGAGATAGATTCTCACTCCGTTGCTAGGCTGGAGTGTAGTGGCACAATCTCAGCTCACTGCAACCTCCGCCTCCTGGGTCCAAGCAATTTTCCTGCCTCAGCCTCCTGAGTAGCTGGGACTACAGGTGCACACCACCATGCCCAGCTAATTTTTGTAATTTTAGTAGAGATGGGGTTTCAGCATGTTGGCCAGGATGGTCTCGATCTCTTGACCTTGTGATCTACCTGCCTTAGCCTCCCAAAGTGCTGGGATTGCAGGTGTGAGCCACCACACCCGGCAGAGAATCTATTTTTATTTTTCAATATTTTAATGTAGAGTAAACAACCATAAATACATTGAAAGGATATACACTTTAATTCCTGGAATTTCATATCTAACTATTCCACATGATCCTTTCCTGAAATGTAAGTCTTCCTTAAATCCTACATCCAAAGAATTAATTCATTTGCCAGACAAAGAATGGATCACGACTGCTACAAGATCTGGTCTATGTCAATGAACTCATGTGCTACGAAGACACTGCTCAGTTTGGGTGTGCTCTGTTGGTTCCATACCTAAGGGATCCTCTAAAGCTCCTTTCATTTTGAAGCTCTGTAGAAAGAAGCAGGAACCTGGGCTTGCCTTGTGGAGGAATTTTAGCTTTTGGGGCCCTTTATGTACTACAATGATGGTTCTCTCCAAACCTGCCCACTTTGAGATTTCATTAGAATCCCCAGTTCTTCCGCTGGGTTATGCATCTGGGTTGTGTGGGTAAAACGGCCTTGGACAAGCATTGCTCTCATTGCCTCATAAGATGTCAATCCCCAAATAAACTAAGTCCCCGGAAGCAAGGATCATGACAAATTGTCTAGAGCAGCATGCAGAGAGTAAGAAAGCTAATATACGCTAGAATTCCACTTTACCCAGGCATTATGTTAGAAATGAAAGCCTGTTATATTCCTTTGGTGTGAGGTCCCAGGAGAAAGTTTTGGTCTTTTCATGCTGTATTAAAGGGTAGGGGTTGCTAGAGACCAAATTTTGCGTTTTCCAGAAAGTATCGGGTAACTGTGCTAGGTCTTAAGTGAATTGTTCGCCTCTGATACAGTTCTATGTAGTCAATAGAATGCCAGGCTAAGATTCATAATACCTTGCTCTGTTGCCACCCCTGTGACCTAAAGCTTCTTTCTCAATGGTCCGATGGAAAGAGTGATTCAGGCCGTCCACAGTGGCTCACATCTGTAATCCTAGCACTTTGGCAGGCCAAATCAGGCAGATCTCTTGAGGTTGGGAGTTCGAGACCAGCCTGACCAAAATGGAGAAACCCTGTCTCTACTAAAAATACAAAAAATTAGCTGGGTGTGGTGCTGCATGTCTGTAATCCCAGCTACTCGGAATGCTGAGGCAGGAGAATCACTTGAACCTGGGAGGCGGAGGTTGAGGTGAGCTGAGATTGTGCCATTGCACTCCAGCCTGGGCAACAAAAGCGAAACTCTGTCTCAAAAAAAAAAAGTGATTCAACACGAAATACTTTGTCTCAGACACTGTCTATTACTAGAAATCTTATTTCACAACTGACTGCTTGCCATATTAGCACATCATGTTGGATAGGTTCGGTCTGTCTTCTACTTCTTTATCCAATTCTCATTCTTGTACTCCTTACTATGGGAAAGATACTACCTTCTACCAGAAACCTGAAGACTTCCTCAACTCCTTATACCCCTCACGTAATCAGTCACTAAGTTTAAAAATATTCCACTAGTTGGTCCCCCCTTTCCAAGCTTACTGCTAATGCAGTAAAAACTCACCATCACTCCCTTTAACTGCAGACTGGCTCTCCCTGGCTTCCAGTCTTGTTCTTACCCCAGTGCATTCCTTACTCTACTGTCTGATTGGGATTTTTACAGTAAACACCTGATAATGGCCTTGTGCGGTGGCTCAGGCCCGTAATCTCAGCACTTAGGGAGGACCAGGCAGGCCGATCACCTGAGGTCAAGAGTTCAACACCAGCCTGACTAACATGGAGAAACCCCATCTCTACTAAAAATACAAAATTAGCCAGACATGGTGGTGCATGCCTGCAGTCCCAGCTATTTGGGAGGCTGAGGCAGGAGAATTGCTGGAACCTGGGAGGTGGAGCTTGCGGTGAGCCAAAATTGCACCATTGTACTCCAGCCTGGGCAATAAGAGTGAAGCTCCATTAAAAAAAATTAAAAATTAAAAAAAAATTGGATAATGTCATTCTTTCTTAGAACCCTTTAGTTAATTTTTCAGTGATACAAAATAAAATCTTGACTCTTACCCTGCCTTAGATTTTGTACCTCCTAACTTTTCTGGACTAGTCTCCAGTTCCTTCCATTACATCAGCAGTAGTCAATCCAGCTCCATCAACACCATTCACGCTTGAGCCTGTGATCCAGCCTATTTTGCCTCTGGCCTGAGATCATCTTTTTCACTTCAGTTTCTTATTCAAGACACTGGAGTTTCAAACTGTGATGGTTTTTTTCTGAACTCCTCTCACTGTGGTAT